CTTGAATGCAGTGACAAGTTGTATGTATACATGTGTGATAGAATTATTTTTTTAAATAACATTTTACATGATAAAAATGGCTCTGAATGTATATTGATGTGTTCATATTTAAGCAATAAATTGCAAGACAGTAAGTTCTGTAATTTACATAATTAATTTATAATGTACTTTCTATATATTTCACAGGTTACCAAGGGAAATTGAGTCATTCAGCAATTTTGTCTTCGACAGCTAATGCAGAGTAAGTTGATCAACTCAGTACTGTTAGAAGTTTAAGTTGACATAAATGTTTTTGTAACATGGTTTAGTTTCAAGAGGTTTAAAGATTGAATTGAATTAATTTGTGTTTTTTTCAGATTCCACTAGATGGGTGTGCAAAACATGTAGCTTTGAATCTAACAAAAGGACAGGATTGTTAAAGCACTACAGGCTAAAACATGTAAATGGTTTTAAGTTAAATGTTTATCAACTCATTTGTATGCACAGCTTGATCCTGCTTTGCATCCTTGCACCTAGTTGGTGCCTTCTTTTGTAGCAGGTTCAATTGACCATTACGCAACATCTTTTGCTTTCTCTCTACAATAATGTACTTGTCTGTTTTAACAGCTACATGTAGAAGATAGACGAGATGCCATCATCCGCTGCTTGATGGAGTTCCTTGGAGAGTCTACAGAGGAACTCATCAAAGACTACCAGGTAAATGTTCTGATGATTGTTGTATCCATAAACATGTTGTCTGTTCTTCAATATTTGTAAATGGATATCTCTACAGGTTAGTGACTCATGCTAGTATGTGGAAAAGGCATGTCTTTTTAATTAAGTTTAACATTTAGATGAAATAAATTGGTATTTAATATATTTAAAATAAAAGCAAACATTTTACTTTATTCCATTCATTCTTTTTTTCATTCTTTCTCTAATGATCTTTTTTTACATTCTGATTCATAATTTGGTTTTCAGTAGAATTGAAGATTTGAGCCTTTAAACCTCCGATCCCACCTCATTTTTGCTAAACTGAATCCAGTACTATACCAGCTTTTACTTCCTGCTTGGAACAGAGCAGCTTTTTTAAACCAAGAAATAAAAAGTGACTACAAATTCCCTACATAACTTACCTCGTCTTTATCTACAAAAGGAAAGGAACTATAAAATCAATAGTTAGTTAAATACTAGGGCTGAACGATTAAAAAAAAAAGATGTAATTGCAATTATTTTAACTGATATTGCAATTGCGATATCAGGAAATGATCACCATTATTCTCATTTTCATTGAAACCTTTTTAAATGATCATGGTGTGATTTTTGCGAGGATTTGTAGCAAACAAAAATGTTTTCTTTAGACTGTAGAATATGATGTGTAGGCATCTCTGCAGCACGACAATATTACATTTAAAATGCTACTTTGACACACATTTTTCCTTTTACAAATATCGCACCTGCTGCGATTTGAAAATTGTTGTAGGCAATATTGCAGTTTCGATAACATTTTGATTGATTGTCCAGCACTTTAACCTAATGAATCACCTTTTGCATATTCAGTCACTTAAAAGAAAACATGTACAGTATAGTGTATCTCAACACCAATTCACATGTTTTGACAGGATGTGAGCAAAGAAATCGTCAGAGAGGACTATGCTGAGCACGTCATGAAAATAGTTGTCCTCCGTGGAAGTGCAGCACACGAAGGCCCTGCCGATGTGTCCATCATCATCGAGGGAAGTGAGGTTCTTGATGACTGCAGATGTGTGTCAAAGGCTTGCCTTCTGCTCATGGGCTTCATATATGCAATGAACTTAAGTTATCCACCGAAGATGAAATACACTTTTGAGGTATTTCAGAAGCTCTTTCTTGAGCTAAATGTCCTGAAGATGTCTCCAAAAGTCCATGCATTGTGCAACAAACTTGTAGCCTAAGTGTATGCAAAGGTGTTTCTTCAACTTGCAGTTCAGAGGAAATACTTGGTATTTATGGTGTCTAGCAACAGTGACCTTTTTCATATGTTTTGCCTGAGCCCACTTTGTACAACTACATGTTTTGTATATTGTTAAGATAATGTTTCAAAACCTTGTTTAGGGGGTTCTTGACACAGCACTTTTTAGTTTCCCCTGGAAACAGTTTCATTTGTTGTGCTTTGAGTATTTGCAGCTCAATGAGGCACATGTCAAATTGGTGAAGATTTTTTCTTCATTTGATTGTGTTTTGTATGTTTTCTTGAGTGCGTTGAATTCTCAGGGCCACTGTACAACTTCATATTGTGTAATTATTCTCTATAACCAGGGGTGCACACAACTTTCTCAGTGAGGTACTCAGATGAGTACCTGGAGTCAGTGTTTGGTACTCCAACTTCTGGCGATTGTCAACGGGGGGGGGGGGGGGGGGGGGGGTAGTGGAGTACAGTACAGAGCTTCGGAGCTACAGAGTGTGCACGTTGTGATCAGTTGTTTTAGCGCAGGGCTGCTGTACAGACCGACGTTAACAGCTGCCCTGTCTGTGCACACGGAGACACGGTGATCTAACCGCCTTCTGGAAAAGCTTCACATGTACGTCGGTACGCAAATGCGCTTTGTGACACATGTGACGGTACGCATTTCAGATTGTTGCCGCGCATGCGTACCTGCGTACCAGTTATGTGCACCCCTGTCTATAACACTAAAAGCAAGGGATGTCAGGGATGAGTGATTGCACTTAGTTTTCTTGCAAAGTCATTGTACTGTATAGATGTGCTGAATATGATCAGGGCCACATGTGATTTTTTTTTTTTAAGTCGGAATTCTGACTTGAAAACTAAAATAATTAATGTTTTGAGCATGGCCCTAATCCTATTCCATAAAAATGACACTTTTGTAAATGTCATTGGACATTTTATCTGAGATGTACTGAAATAGATCACTGTGAATTCTGTCCTCAGGATCAGCCAGAGAATGTTGTTTTAAGAATGTTTCATCTTCACTGAGACTATCGGTAAAAAGTGTTCTAACATTCTGTTTAGCTGCACCGATGTAGGTGCTGTGTGCACCAGATTGCATATGTTTAAACCATTGTAAACTGTTGCTTAGTCCTGGCTGGTACCAGTGTTTCAAAACATAAAGTTGCTGTTTTAAAGAGTACATTGTTTCATGTTTTGTATGCCCATATTTAACAGGGTATTGCTGTTAAAGGTAGAATACATATTATGTAAATATTACTTATATATTTAAGTAAAAAATACTATGCAATAGTGAGTACACTTTTAAATAGAAGAAGAAATATTATGTAAATATTACTTATATATTTAAGTAAAAAATACTATGCAATAGTGAGTACACTTAAATAGAAGACGAAATATTATGTAAATATTACTTATATATTTAAGTAAAAAATACTATGCAATAGTGAGTAAAATTAAATAGAAGAAGAAATATTATGTAAATATTACTTATATATTTAAGTAAAAAATACTATGCAATAGTGAGTACACTTAAATAACAAAAACAGAAAGCACAGTAAAGTTTACTTGTGTACCTGTTGTTAGAAACACTTCTGAACTGTAAGTAGAATTTACTTGAAATATAGGTTGTTAAATTTACTTACAATTTCTGCGTGGAATATTGTTACAGAGGTTTTTCTAAGTAAATGTCACTCCACTTTTTTTTCAGTGTTGTTAATAAAGTCAACCATTATGTTGCATATATCACAAACACAAGGACTTTCATTCACAGTAAGTGTACATCTGTGTCTTGTGGCCAAAGGCACGTTAACAGAGTAACAGCTGAACAGTGACCTGGTTCAATAAGATGTCATATCTCCGTTGCCAAACACAAGCTATGCGAGATGCACAAACTGGGTGATGAGGATGGAAATCATTCCATGTGTGATCAAAACCGTAGTTGGTGTGGACAGTCTTCATTTCCATCATCCTCGACATTGAGAAACACCCATGGTATACGTGTTTCGCCTAGGAGACTAAATGAAGGGGAAATGTCGCCCTTCTGTTTGTTGTGAGCCCTGAAGGCGCTTGATGATTCTGTTATCGACTTGGTGCTACCAGTACTGTACTGAGACTGTACCACAGTGTGAATTCATCTGAATTTGACCTTGATTCAAGCTAGGCTACGTTTGATGGAAACCAACTTGATTTGTTTGGGGTTCAATATCAATATCTTTGGGAATTATTACAAGATTGTCCACAGCAGCGTAAAGAAAGTGTCTGGTGACAAAGAGGGTCACATTCCTCCATTTCTTCTAACGTGTTGTGTTTGGGGTCAATAAGGACAGACTGCCCTTCCAGTGTCAGCAGTCCAAAGGCTTGCTGTTGCCTCTCCTTTTGATTCGTACACTCCGGACACAATGAGCAACAAAGTGTGGGCTTGCAAGTGGGTCCAACTCCTTCTAACTGTGCCACTATGCGCCCCCTCTAAATCCATCATCTCAAGTATATCCTTCTCATTGATGGTATTATGAAGAGCTCCAATGCTGACTTCATGTCTGACAGCGTATCTGGTGAGGCCTGGAACCATTTTCATGACATTAGACGCACTAAAGCTACTCCGTTGTTCAAGAGAGGAACCATGGTAACTTGACATGTTTTGGAAAGTGTCTGCTTGTGTTTGAGAGACAACAGGAGCATCTGCTCTGGGGTCCCTGTCATCAGAGGAGGAAGCCTCATAATCAGAGTCCTCCTCAACATTATCCTCTGTCTCAGACACTGTCTCTTCTTCGTCACTTTCACTGTCAAAGAGCTGTGACAAAACAAAACTCTGCTGAGAGAAAAACCTTTTCTTCAAAGGTAATGTTGGATTGAGAGAGAGACATAAGAGAAACCACACAGAGCACCAAGAGAAACGGTTCAGACGGATGCTATGCAAGCTTTAGTATGTTTGCCCCTCCCCTACGTTGTGTAAACTAAATGTCCTCACAGGAACCAAATGTCCCATGTTGCTGGAGATATCAGAGTTCTCACAATTTCCCACATCCACCACAACAGGGGCGGTTCTAGGGGTGGGCCAACGGGGGCCAGTGCCTCAGCCTGGCCCCGGCCTGGCCCCAGCCTGGCCCCAGCCTGGCCCCAGCCTGGCCCCAGCCCGGTTCCAGCCTGGCCCCCCAGCCTGGCCCCGGCCTGGCCCCAGCCTGGCCCCGGCCTGGCCCCGGCCTGGCCCCGGCCTGGCCCCGGCCTGGCCCTGGCCCCGGCCTGGCCCCGGCCTGGCCCCAGCCTGGCCCCGGCCTGGCCCCCCCAGTCAAATTGGTCTAGAACCTCCACTGTATTGAAGTGACTGTTATTTTGTATATATTGATTGTTGTGTTTTTTATCTAAATGTGTGCATATGTGTAAATGTGTCTGTTGATTGTGTATATAGGATATACATATTTGTATACATATCTATATTTGTATTTTTGTATTCTGGATTGTGGGAAATGGTATTTCGATCTCTCTGTACACACAAACTGAAAGATTGACATTAAAGTTGACTTTGACTTTATTTGTCACACACATGTACATGTACACAGTGACCTTTGACCTCTGCATTTAACCCCTCCTAGCACTAGGAGCAGTTGGCAGCTGCCTTGCTCAAGGGCACCACAGCAGGGCCCAGGAGGTGAACTGGGACATCTCCAAGTACCAGTCCACACTCCCTAATTGGTTCTGGACTCTAACCGGCCACCCTCTGGTTCCCAAGCCGAGTCCCTACAGACTGAGCTGCTGCTGTCCGTTACTCTCCTTGATAATATACATGCTTTTTATTAAACGCAGAAATTGTACTAAGAAATAATATGATCCTTTAACAACATCGAAAAGATGTTTCTTTCAAATGTCTATCAGTACGATTTGATGGTGATTTATATTTGGATGGTCACATAATAGGGATTCTGGATGTATAATGGGGGGGGGGGTTAATGTTTTATTTAAATAGTTATTTAGGTAGTCAACAAAGAAACATAAAACACCAGAAACACATCTTTGTAAGAATTTTGAATGTGATCATTTTCTTGAGCTCAAAATGAGCCCCAAGGATCAAAGGAAGACTAAAGTGAAGTCTCTACTACCATGCAGTGGTGTAACGTAGTGAAGTACATTTACTCAAGTATTGTGCAATATTGTGGTACTTGTACTTTACTTGAGTATTTCCATGATATGCTACTTTATACTTCAACTCCACTACAATTTAACAATTATTTGACAAAATTAGGTACTAGTTATAAATTCAGATTATTAGCTAAAATAAAAGATCAATAAACTATGATATATAATTATAGATTAAATGATCCAGCAGCAGCATATAAAGTTAAAGTTGCTCCACTTGTAACAACACATGAATGTATTGTTATGACCGGCTCGTAGGCCACAACAGGAAGAGAGAGAGAGACGTTCGAGGGTTCCAAAAACACGGCACATTTATTGTGGCGATTCCAAAACACCAGAAACATGAGGATGGGCGAGGGGAAAGGATCCCGGAGAGAGTCTTCCTGTGGCGGGCTTGGAGAGAGTCACGAAGGCCCTGTGACTCCGGGCAGCTGGGCTTAAGTAGCACCTCGGCTCCGGCCAGGTGTCCCCAGTCATGCTGATTGGCCTCCTCAGCTCCACCCCCATCACAGGACCTGCAACACACCTGCACTTCTTACACCACTGCTACCATGAGTGTGGAGCCGTGTGCTACAAAAGCCTGAATTTAAAACAGATATTTTACAGCTGAAGACTGTTTTCAAATGTAGAGCAGGTTGTGAGCGAGGCTCAGTTTGTAAATGAGGAAACAGTTCAGAGTGTCTGCTCTTCCTCCTGGAGTGAGTCAGAGTTTGATAAGCCCTCCCTCTTCTTCCTGGGTTGCGGTCGAATAGTCCAAAAATCAGCTCCTAAATTCTAACCCTATAGTCTATTCCTTGACCTCTGAGTGAAAGGTCACGGGGTTAAGGGATAGTGGATAGGAGAATTCAAAAGGACTTAGGAGAAGAGACTGCGGTACTTTAGAGAATCGACTGCACTCTCACTATCCGACGTGTTTATGATGCGCCAGCGGACGTCATAAATGTGCGTCTGCTGCTGTGGGGAAACTATGGAAACTACAGTTTTCTATACAGCGGACTACAACATGGATGTTTAATAAGAACGAGGGACTACTGTAAACTCATCTAGAGACTCTGCACCGTGCTCTGATGCTGTTATGCTTTATGAACGGGGACAACAGAGAAACATATTCTTCATGACCAAAGTTGGAATTGAAATAAAAAAGGAAAGTGAAACTTATGCTCGTCACCCTCTCCCTCCGGTCCACATTAATACAAATGATCCCAATACGTATGATTGTATGAAAAGATCTTCAAATCAATACAAATGTATTTATTATAAACGTTAGTCCTTAACATCTATCACTGTGTATATCACCATTCAAACATCTTTTAAAAGTTGAACAAACCCCACACAGCTCAGTAAAGACTGTGAAATGTTGACTTTATTTCATCATTTCAGTAAAAACTAACGTTCATATTTCTCTTTTTGATTATAATACGGATGAACGTTCAAAACAAAGCACTTTGGCAACTTACCACATACGTTTTAAAAAGCTTAATAAGCACCGTAACTTTCATGATATCATTTCTCGTTCATAATCGGTTGTTTCCGTGAACGGCCGACTGTTGTGTGACGGCAAATGCTGCGGCCGCAAGGCATTGTGGGGCAGCATTTTCTCCTCTCCTTTCGGTTAGGGAGGTCCAGTGGTTCCTAAGCTAAAGGAGGTTATAAAGGAAGTTTGAAACCTCCTTTCCTTTCATCTAGAGCAGGGGTTCCCAACCCCCGGTCCGCGGACCGGTACCAGGCCGCAGAGGTGTTACTGCCGGGCCGCGAAATAGCTGTGAGTTTATCGTAATATTTGCAGAATTATAAATATATAAAAATATTTTATCATAATATGCTTTTCAAAAAGTGTTTAATTTTCGCACCTATGCCACCAGTCATATTATTCCAACCAGTAGCTAGTTCATCTTTCACCAGAAAACCGTTGAAAATGGCTTTTATGATGTTCCGAGGGATTCGGCGGCTCAGCCTGAGGTCTCAGCCTCTTGTGCGCACGAGCATGTTACCGGTGCGCCAAGTAGGAAGAGGAGCGCACAGGAGACAACCGTTTGATTGCAGACTGTTATGTTTATGTGGGGAAATGGTGGTGCATACATTATTTGAGATATATTTCAAACTCGGACTTCATTTTAAGGACATGTCGGCCAGGGGTGTAGAGCTATTTGTTTAAGCACCGGATTGGCAAAACAGGAGAGTAAACCAGTCTGCCTTGATCTATGGATTAATGGCCGGGACTCTCACGGTATCTGCTGCCCGCAGCTGCTTTATAGAAGGAGCACATCCTTCACTTCATGACATGGCTGCAGCATCAGGAGGCAGCGGGACGTATACTCGGTAAAGAGCTGTGCCTTTTTACGCACCGCCTTCGCTGTGTTTAATTTAATCAGAACAGTTTAAGAGTGACTGCAGGCTGCTACGTGTTAACCACACACACCACACACCTCTACACACACCTCAGTCTACACACACATCTACACACATCGAACTGCCCGATTACTCCCCCTTTTATTAGTTTTATGAAGGAGATGTCCAGTCAGTCACCAAGGCGCATGATGTGTGTGTGTGCTCTGCTCAGCTCAGCTCTGAGTGTTCGGTGTGTTTGTGTCTGTCCGACACCGGCATATATGCGGCTGTTCCCAAAATAAATTAGTTTAATCTTAATCTCGATGCAGTGCTAAATGCTGTCGGGAGTGCACCGGAACGAACGACACTATCATAATATCTTCTGAAAACAAATGCCAGTGTCACACACACACACACACACACACCACACACACACACACACACACACACACACACACCACACACACACACACACACACACACACACACACACACACACACACACACACACACACACACACACACACACACACACACACACACACACACCACATTTGGATGCATATTGTTCTAGTATTTGTTCAGGCTGTTACATACAATTAGCCTCTGTTGCTACCTGCTGGTGGTGAGTAAATATTAAAATCAGTTAAAATTGACAACCGGTACGCGATTGTTTTTTTAATGTATCTACCGGTCCTTGGCACAATAAAGGAACCCCTGATCTAGAGAATTGGTACGGCTCTTATCATGGCTGCCACTGAGGGACTTCCGGGTCATTTCACTCCGTTAGGAAGGTTCCTAAGCTAAATGGACTATTCGACCGCAACCCCAGTGTGTCACTACCCGATCTGTCCCCCTGCCCGATCTGTACTGCGCATGTGCGAGATGGTCCGCCATATTGGACAACTACATACGGCAACTCTACTAGGACACTTGACACAGTGGCTTTTGGCAAAGCAGAAAAAGAACCGAGAGAGATTATTGTTATTACAACGTGACTTCACTATTATTTAACAACTCTTTTTATTGGGTTCTTTTATTTGGGGTTAAATACATTGTCAGAATAAGTGAGACATGGATTTAACTTCTGTTAGACAGCTATCATACTGAATAAATATTTACTGTGAATGTATGCAAAAATGTATGGCATATAGCTGTCTAACAGAAGTTAAATCCATGTCTCACTTATTCTGACAATGTATTTAAACCCACATAAAAGAACCCAATACAAAGAGTTGTTAAATAATAGTGAAGTCACGTTGTAATAACAATAATCTCTCTCGGTTCTTTTTCTGCTTTGCCAAAAGCCACTGTGTCAAGTGTCCTAGTAGAGTTGCCGTATGTAGTGGCGGACCATCTCGCACATGCGCAGTACAGATCGGGCAGGTGGACAGATCCACACTGAGGAGGAGGGGTGTAACCAACATGTGGGTAAAGCACAAGAGTATGAGGTGTGATTTGTATGAGGTGTGATTTGTGCCAAAGAGCGAACTCACTGAGCAGACAATCGTGTCGATCGTCGCCTACCATGCCGTGAACTGTGCCGCGAGAGAAGTAACGTGACACTCTCGTCGCCACCCCTCTCGTCTGAGAAGCTATTTTGCTGCACTCAAGCATACATCTGAAGACAAGAGTTGTGTCCCCCTTTGGCCACAAGGGGGAGTATATATATATTGTATATATATATATTTTGTATAGATGTTGCAACTATACAGAGCTTTGGCAATACTATATGTAACTGAGGTCATGCTAATAAAGCTATTGAATTGAATTGAGTATACCTTTAAGTGAGCTGTCAGGAGGAAACAAAGGTT